AGGTAGGCCAGTTCACGCGCTCAGGGTGTGCCCTTCCCTGGGACGGAGGCCCTTCACAATGGGAGAAATGTTACCATTTTGGTTCCTACCTCCTTTTACCTTTGGGGCTCAATTCGTGATTCTTTGACACATGTAGCATGACTTGATAAAGTCAGTAGCCCTGCAACGTGTAATAACACACACATTTCTGTGATGGACTATATTCTGTGATGCACAGGGTATTTTTCTTTCAACTTTGCCTCACCTTTGCGGAACATGTACCTTTTGTGCCTCTGGTAGGGTCTTTTATATGTTTCAGAGGCCCTTTGATACCTGTTTTGCCGTTCAAGTTAACATCATGTCAGAATTTGCAGGTGAAAACAAAATCGACCTGACCAGAGAACAGCAGATATCTCGAGAGCTGGAAACATTCTCCAGCGTACTTCTCAAGATAGTCCGCTCGGGAGTGCTCCCCATTTTGTAGGTGGGGAAATTGAGGCACATGTAAGTTAAGTGGAAGTCACTGGTAGAGAAGACGGCTGGAAGCCAGGCCGATAAATCCAGTGTTCACCCCACTCTCCTACAGTGCCTGTGTTCTGTTATTTTCTAGAGAATTAAAATGTGACTAGGAACAAATATGTTCCGCCAGATGAGAATCCAGTCGCCGTACAGAGCTCAAGATCTCCCAGGGTTATTGTTTTGTGTTTTATAATTGCAGTAAACTTGATAGTAATGAAAGGAGTCTAGCAAGTTATCGTGTACGTGCCAGACAAGTCCTGCCCAATAGAACTTTCTATGATGATGGAAATATTCTATACTCCTGGTGTTCAATGAAGTAGTAGCTTCTGTGTCTGCTTGATCACTTGAAATGTGGCTCCGGAGACTGGGGGAAGGAGTTTTAATTGTGTTTAAATTTAAATCCCTACATGTGCTTGTGGCTACTGTGTTGGACTGCACAGTTCTAGACTTTTCAGTGTTTTCTTGACATCTCCACTTGGATGTCACACAGGTAACAAGGTCAAATCAGAATTCTTGATTTTCTTTCCTCTCTCAACCTGTTTTTCCCCCCATGAAGCCATCATGGACCCAGTTGATTGAGCCAAACCTGGGTGTCATCTCAACCGCTTCCTCTCCCTCATCTCCCACATCCACTTCATCAGCAGAACTTATGCTGAATCCATCCACTTCTCTCCATCTCAGCTGCTACCATCCTAGGCCAAGGTACCATCATATCTCACCTGAACAATTGAATGGCCTCATAATTGGTCACCATGGATCCATTTATCCACTGTTGCCTTGTCCAGACTCCTCCATACAGCTGCCAAACAGACGCTATTAAACTCTTCAGTAGGTACATCATTCCCTGCGTGTATGGAAGAATTTGAACTTACCACTGTTTGAAGTTATTTACTTCTTTGTTTACTTTTTATTTTCTGTCTCCCATTATAGTGGGAGGGCCCCTGTGTCAGGAACCTTGTTTACCTCCTGCACTGCTGTATCTCCAGCACCTACAACCATGCCTGGCACATAATTTGCACTCAGTGAACCTCTCAGTAATAGTTGTTTATCATGGAAGAGATGAGATAGCAAGCGTCAAAATACAGGTTTATAATTTGGTTGTTAAAAGTAGAGATGATGCCAGCACCCATATACATGGGAAGGTGGTGGTGTCTTTACATTCTGGCTGCAGTAGGAAGAGTGGATGTTAGGGCTAATTGCATTTCTCCGTGAATGGGTGGGCCTGGCCACGGTCCTGATACAATCTCTGACGTGAGCTAGAAAGAGATCTTTTTCTCCCTAGAGGTCTGTGTATGTCCCAGATCTTAAAACTTTTGTCTTTCCTGCAGTTAGAGAAAGAGGAGAGTGTCCTCCTACAAGGTCACTTTTTATGTCCATCCAAGGGGAGGTTAGATAGTGATGGAAAGAGACAGATTGTGGAACTCTAGGCTAGAGAATGGCAAAGCCCTGTCCAGACCACAAAAGATTTCAATGTGTGACTCCTGTAAGGTAAATAGAAAGTATTTGGAATATACTCAGATTGAATTATTTGAAACGATGAAAACTTTAAGAAATAAAGTTTTGTGTCCTTTTTTGGTTGAATATTGCATTTTTTATTTTTTTATTTTTATTTATTTATTTTTTTTGGTGAGGAAGATCAGCCCTGAGCTAACATCCATGCTAATCCTCCTCTTTTTGCTGAGGAAGACTGGCTCTAAGCTAACATCTATTGCCAATCCTCCTCCTTTTTTTTCCCCAAAGCCCCAGTAGATAGTTGTATGTCATAGTTGCACATCCTTCTAGTTGCTGTACGTGGGACGCGGCCTCAGCATGGCCGGAGAAGCGGTGTGTCAGTGCGCACCCGGGATCCGAACCCCGGCCGCCAGTAGCAGAGCGCGTGCACTTAACCACTAAGTCATGGGGCCAGCCCTGAATATTGCATTTTTTAAAGGCAAGTGTCTTTTCTGGCATTCCTTGATAATGGCCAGCCAAGGCTTTCAGAGGGCCTGTTATTACTTAGATCCGTGTGCACAGTGAAGTGAAGCTGATCAACTTGGAGGTATGAGCAAGTCAGTTCAGCTTTGAGCTGTGTTTGTCCCCTCTGCTACTGACCAGGCTTGAGAGATGACTGTGCCCTCACCACTGGCTGGATTTAGATGAATTCAAACTTGCTTTGTTAAAGTGCACATTTGGAGACTCTTTATCCTGGTGTGTTTTTATTAGGCCCAAGTTTATAACCCTGTCCTATATCCTTCCCATGCTGTTCCATTGTTTTCCTGGGTGTGCCTTTATTGAGCATCTACTGTATACCGAACACCTTGCTAGGTCCTGGAACGACTAAGATGAGTTAGACACATTTTCAGGCTTCAGAGATGCTGCAAACAAGTGGGCAGAGAGACCAGTAGAGAAAGACTGAAACACAGGAGCCATGTGCAGTAACAGAGAGCAGTGAGAGTAGACAGCACGGAGCCCTGTGGGAGCAGGTAGGGTGTAGCCGTGAAGGATGCAGCCTCTGGAACCAGACTTTCTGGGGTCACTCTCTGGCTCTGCCGCTTACGAGCCGTGTGACCTTACGCTACTGACTTCACCTCTGTGCCTCAGTTTGCTCACCTGCTAAATGGGTGAGAGTAGTACCTCCTTCGTGTGGTTGAGATGCCTGTGGGAGGGCACCCAGGAAGGGGGCCGGTGCAGGATTGCTGGGGCTTGGGAACTTGGACTGGGTCCCACACCAGAGAGGAAGCCCTGCGGGACTTCCAGCAGGTTCGGGGCCGCCCTGCGAGGCGGGGCGGCAGCGTCCCCCGTGGCCTCGGCCTACGGCCTGTTAATTCCACACAGTGTCACCGACCCTCCTCCCTCCCTGGAATTTGGGGGGCAGTTCTGAGTGTGACCTGATTTTTCTCGCTAGGTGTGATTGCTTTGGAGGCTACAGATTAATAAAGTGAAAAGGATGTGTTTTCTTAGTTCTTTTCTTCCTGATTCTTCCTCCTACTCCCTCCCCTGCTAAGACAGACACAGAGATGTCTATCGTATAGACCCCTTGGCAAATCGGATTAAAGTGGTAGACCCTTCCCTCAGAAAACCACTGAGACTAGGTTTCCCAGGGACCCACGTTAACCTCCCCCACTCCCACACCTCGATCGTCCAGACAGGCCCCCAGACCCAGTGCAGTCTCCTTGACCCCGGTCCTGCCTGTGGTTTTGGTGTTCTCACCCCCCAGATGATTTTTAATTTAATTTACTAGCACATCCCACAACTCTCCCATCTGCTATCACTGCTATTATCTGACCACGTACCACGGGAGCAGCCTTGAGTCACTCAATGGTTATAATTAACACTGAGAGTTATTATCTTATTTTGAGCTGTTCAAATTTAATCGGGAGCCTAGTGGCCTGAGCTCTGGGGGCAGACTCCGTGGATTAGAATCCCAGCTCTGTCTTTATCTTATGACCTTGAGTAAGTTACTTAAGCTCTCTGGGCCTCAGTTTCCTCATTACAAAACACGAACAATAGTATACTCCCCTCCTGAAGTTACTGTGAGGATTAATTGAGGGAACAGGAACACGCGAGAATGGTTTCTGGCACAGAGTAAGTGCTATATAAGTACTTCTATTATTATGTTATTACTTCTACTCAATGATGTCATGAAATGGGGTAATGCTGGATTCCTAGGAGCAGGAAAATAGAGGAATAAAATCTCCATCTGCATTTGGCTCGCTTTGGAGCCTTGCCAATACCTGGAGGCCAGGAATGGATTCCCTGGACCCGTGCTGTCGAGTGTGGCAGCCGCCAGCCGCTGGGGCTGTTGACCAGTCGGAATGTGGCTAGCCTGAGTTGAGATGCACTGGGTCTTAGAGATTTACTATGAAAAAAAGAATGTAAAATGTCTCATAAGTAATTTTTTATGTTGGTTACACATTGAAATGATAATATTCCGAATAAGGTTAAATTAAATATATTCTTAAAACTAATGTCAGCTGTTTCTTCTTGCTTTTTTAATATGCCAACTAGAACATTTAGAATTACATTTGTGGCCTGCGTTATCTTTCTGTTGAGCAGCACTGCCTTAGGCTCACCATTATCAATAAAACAAAACCGTGTGGTTAGCGTGATCAGGTGACCGCTATTGGAAAGCCTTGTGCGCTCTGCCCCTTGCCCTTCAAGTCGTGCTGGACCGTCTGTTTCTGCATTGGCTCCGTAAAGGGAGCCATGGCCTGCTCCTGGCAGAAGGGGGCTGAGGGACCCAGACAAGAGCAGGAACGAGGGAGGCCTCCGCTGACGTGGAGGGGTCGGGACGAAAACACTACCATTTATAGTTATGCTGGCCTCAGCTGTTCAGCTCGCCCTGAGGAGATGAGAGAATGCTCTCTGTGCAGGAAGTTGAAATACGTAGGCGAGGAACTCTCCGTATTCCATCAGGAGCCAGAAAAAGCTGTGCTAATCTTTAACTAAAAGAATAAATACTCAACATTATGGCAGTCACTGGGGATCGAAAGCACATCCCTTCCAAACGTGATTTACTTATGGAATGTTTGTTTAATTCTATTTCAGATTCGTTCCATCACTTAAAACCTGATAACGGTGGGCCACACGAAGTCTTCTTGGTAAGTGCTCTTTCATTTTTAGAACAAAGTGACTGTTTGACATTATTTTTGAAATGGTATTCACACGTCTAAGTTAGATGCATCCCTGACAGTACTATGATTAGATGTCTATTTATTCGCACTTTTTTTCTCTCTGAAATGATTTAAGCTGTTTCCCTGCCTTATAAAAAACAGATCAATGCACGTTCTTTTGCTAAGAACATGGTCAGGGAAAAGATCTATGATTACATGCCAAATACTATTAAAATAAAAACTTTTTTTGTAATGAAACTATTTCCAGGCCCCTGTTGATGGTCCGCTTGTTTCAAGCAGTCGCCAGAACAACAAAGTGTTCCTTCAGCCGAGGAATTCAGATGGTCCCTCGCAGTGTGTTATAATGAAATTTGGCCCACGGCTGTAACATATTAGCTTTCTTATTGCTCTGTTTTTTCTCTCATCTCTCTTTGAACCTAAATGTGATTGTTGTGAGATAACAGTTCTGTAATGGTAGCAAACTTCCGTTAGAGCCTGGCGGTTGACGTACTTCTCAAGTGAAAAAGTTCCTGAGGCTTCGGGTGGCCTGAGTCCCTCATACGTGGTGAGACTGTCATTTGCAGTGTGTGGTAGTGAGCTTTTGCCGCATAACAACCCCAAAATTTGCTACCAGAAATTTGAGCCAAAATTTACTGACTCAAAGTAGCCATCGTTTCTTTATCCCTCAGTTCTGTGTGCTGGCGATCGGGCTGGGCTCGGCTGTGTGGTTCTTCCAGTTTCAGCTGGGGCCACTCCTGTGTCTGCAGTCAGCCACAGGTCTGCGGCAGCGAGCCTTTGTTTCGGGGGTCACCTGGCTGTCGGCTGGAGGGATGACGAGGAGGAAGACGTGTGTCTCACCGTCCTGCAGGCTGCGCCGAGCTTGCTCACGTGGCGGTTGGGCAGGGTACCTAGAGACAGAGCAGAAGCATCTTGAGGGCAAGGCTCAGAACTGGTACAGTGTTGCTTCCAGCACATTCTTTTGGCTAAAGCAAGCCATATGGCTAGCCTAGACTCAAGAGGTACAGACATAGATTCTATCTCTTGGTGAGAAGAGCTGCAGAATCACACTGCAAGGAGCCTGGATACAGGGTCGCCATTTTTACCACCTCCCATACAGTGTTTCTGCGTCAGGTGCAAACAGCTGTGATCGAATGGAAAGAGCGTGACGAGTGAGAGGCCTCGGGTCCCACTCCCTTCCCCGAGCCTGTCATCTCACCCACTGGGACTGACTGAGCGAGCCCCGGAACCCTGGGCTCGCTCTTGCCATCCGGCAGCTCCGTCAGGTCAGCAGGTTCCTGGGTGGTCCTGCCGGTTCCGGGCTCCCCGCTGTCCCGCCTCCCTTTGTTCTGCACAGCACCGCCACACTGGTCATCCTGCAGGCCGACTCTCAGGACGCTCCCCCTCTGCTCGGAACTGTCGGTGCCTCCGTGTCACCACCACACCAGCCTCGGCTCCTCTCTCTGGCTTCTCCACGTCCATTGTCAGGTCCCATCCTTGCTTGCTTGTCTCCTGCTGTTTTTTCAATTCTATCCGGACTAGTCCATTTACCATTTCTCTTGAGGACACCTCATGCTGCCCACCCTTCTCTAACTTGGAAATCCTTCCCATCCTGTGGGGCCTAGTAGAGTCTCCCCTTCTCCATAAGTGGCCCGCCCCACCTGTTCCTGCCATCTGAGGTCCCTGCCCTGAACTACCTAACGCCCCATGCCGCCTTCTGTGGTTCTCTCTTCCCCTGGCTCACCTTACTTCCTCCACTGCTTTGTCAGTGGCATGAGAGCAGAAGGCTGCCCGGGCCTTCCTTGCAGTGTCAGCTCAGGGCCGAGAGTCCAGCAGGGGCCTGGTCAAGCAGGAAGCAGCCCGGACAGCGCACTTGGTCACCCACCAGCAGCTCATCAGGGTCACACGAGGCGCCTGTTGAAATACAAGCTTGTAGTCCCTTCCACTGGGCCGTCCACATTCATTAGGTCTGATTCTTAAAGCGCTCAGATGATTCTGATGTGATTGTATGCAGTTGGCAGCCACGTGGTATGGAAAGAACTAGAAATTTATATGGGACCTGGGTTTGAGCCCAGGCTCTGCTGCTCCCTGGCTCTGGGACCTTATAGACTTAACCTTTCTGAGCATCAGTTTCCTCATCTGTAAAATAGGAATGATACTAACTCTAGGACTGCCAAGAAGATCAAAAAGGATGATGTATGTGAAAGTGCTTTATAAACCATAAAATGTAGTTAAAACGCAGTAATTGATTGTGGATCCGGGGCGAGCCAGTGTTAAGAAAGGGGCAGTTACCGCCATGGTGGTGACACGAGAATAGGCAGCGAGGAGTCGAGGGGTCATGGTGGTGGGACAAAGAGTAACAGCAGCCATAGTCATACTCAGTGCCCACTGTTGACTGAAGGCCGCCTGTGTGGCGGGCACCGTGCTGCTGCTTTACACAGAACTGTTTGAGGCTTACGGGAAGACTCCCCGTTCAGTGCCGTCTGTACCATAATTACAGCCTGTCCCACCGTTAGGGAATTAGTCCTTTGGTCTTTTCCCCTTCAAAATACCTGCTTAAAATGTACTCGTCCCTGAGAGAGGAGATACTTGGTCAAGTGTAAGGTCCTGTGCAAGTGTGAGCTGCTCTGATCTGGTGGGAGGGGCTGGGGAGGGGAGAGCAACCAGCAGTACTGACAATAGAGTAGAGGTGGGGACACAGGAACGGAGCAGAGGGCACCCCGCCGCTGCAGGAAGGATGGGGTGGGGGGCAATACTCGGGAGGCAGGAGTGGGCGAGGGCGGGACCCAGACATCTGCTGACTTGCCAGCTTGGCCCAGGGCTGTTCCTGGTCCAAGGCCGCCGCCTTCTCAGCCTGCTCACGTGGAGCTTCCCGGTGACAGCAGCCACAAAGGCAGCGTTTGTAAAATTGTCCTCCAGTCACCATCTACGTTGTTTTAATTGCTGTTGATCTGGTGTATGTGCCCGTCTTCTTTCAAAGGTTTTTGAGGTGGCTTTTAAATTCATGCATAATATGATGAGACTCAGAAAAATAAGGAAGGAAGGGAATGTGTGGGGAAGGAGAGGTAAGGTTAGCCCCGTGCAGGGGTGAGAGCCTGTCCACTTGCCAGCAGGCCCCAGAGGCTTGCCTCTGAGCTTCTGCGCAGTCAGTACCAGAAGGAGAAAGCGCCCAGTTAACAGTTCATAGTGGTCAGAAGATAAAAGTATATTAGTTACTCAGAAGAAGTGAGGTTGATCATGATTCAAGACTTCGAGCAATTTCTGCAGAGTGCTCAAAAGAGGATCCCATGTAAGGTGGCAAACAACCTCCCTGTAATAAATAAAATACTGAGGACTGCCCTCGGTGAGGGCGAATGATATAACTCCCGAGTGTGGTCCAGGAAAGCCCTTCCAGTCCAGGTATGCGTGTCTCTGTTGGCCTGGCTTAATCCAAGGATAAATGTAATCGTTGCATACATCCATCCCCTCCCCGCCTCATGACGGACTTCACAGGTGGTCATGGTTCCTGATGCTGAGCCTGGGCATTTGGCTGTGGACCAGATTTGGCACATGAGTTGAAATCTACTTACCATCCCTGTTCTAAAAGAATAATAAACAACTTCCAGAAAATACTCTGTGAATGTTATTTCTCCCCACTCCCAAATCATTCTACGCCCTGACTCGGTCTGTGGAGTGGCTCTTTGATACACAGAATTTACATTGGCCTGTCCTCTGTGACCTGTGTGGCTCTCGTCCCTTGCTCCACATGTATCTCTCCTACTGTTTTGAGCCCCATGGCTCTAGGTCATTTCTGATGCTGAGTGTTCTGTACCTTTTGGGGGAACCAGGGCAGTTTGAGAAGCTTGTGGGAATAGGAGTAGTGGAGTCCAAGTGTTTGCTGGATGGTAGCAAACTATAACCTGTGCTACTGTTGTCCGCTTCTGAGACTCTCTTCTTCTGCCTGGTAACTTTAATACTTATTGCAAGAGGTAGTGTCTGGTTGGTGGCAGCATTGGTGAGATGAACTATGAGGAGCAGAGGGTGGTATGAGAATAATGTTAAGCCTAGACTTTTTGCAGGAATGTCATAGAATGAAAAAATTTTAATTCAGTAAAGATCTTTCTCAGAGAGGAGCCCAGAATTCCACAAGGACCATGAATGGGAATTTCTTTTTGGGCTTTATTTTCATCTACATCAGGTTTATTAGTTAGAATTATTTTGGTTCCAAGTAACAGAAATCCAACTTAAACTAGTTTCTTGACTTACATGACTAAAATGTCCATGCTGGCATGAGCTTCAGGCATAGCTGTATCCAGGGGTTCATAAGATATCACCAGGCCATTATCCTTCATTCTCTCCATCTCTTGGCTCTGCTTAACTCTCTGAGCTTCATTCACGGGCAAGCTCTCCCTCACCCTGGTGCCAGAGGTAGCCATCATCCTCACAGCTATGGATCTCAGTGAAAAGAGAATGCTTCTTTTGCCATTGCTCTGGGAATAGTGCCAAGGAGGGATCTTGACTGGCCCGGTTTGGATTCCTTGCCTGAATCAGCTTGGCCAGAAGTGGGCAGTAGACAATAAGCAGTATCTGTTTGGCCGGGGCTTGTTCATGTGTCAGCAGAGGGTGAATCTCAGCAGAATCACGTGGAATGGGGTCCCTGTGAAAACGGGGAATTTCATTACTAGAGGAAGGAAAGAAAGAAAGAGCATGCCAAGCAAATAAAATTTCTAGATACCAGAGTCCACTGATTTACAAATTCTTCATTTGGGGTCCGTTAAACTTGAAGGTTTACAAATTAGATTCGCTTCAGTTACAATGACTACCTGTTCCAAGTGTGGTATCCTAATGGAGAGTGGCAGCAATCAGCACATGGAGAGGACGAGGAGGGGGACCCCACTGTGAGTCAGTGGGCAGCTTTTGGCCTGAGGACCTCATGTCGCCTCCCTAGGAATCTAGAAGAGTGGTTACTAAGCTGAAGACAATGAACGAGCTTCAGTGGATCTCTCATCCAT